TAAAAATTTTTACACTTCTTGTTGAAATATATATGCATATAAATATATCTATAGTTATATCTAAAACACTCCTGGACCATTAACATAAATTAAATGTCTTAAGAGATATGAAGTCCTTTTACACTTGTCATCTTATATTCAAGGTGACATTTATAAATATTCCTTCAAACTTTGTTTTCATAAAATGTAAACTATGTAACTTTATGTATAGTTCAGTAATTTGAATGTTTGTTCAATACAATGAACTAGAAAGGAATGCAATTTTCTGTAGATGAATGAACCAAATGGTACCCATTAAACAATTGCATTTATATGTTGCAATACATTTCAGAAGGAGCGTTCACTCTGCAGGGAATAAGGTACCTCCTTTAGCACCTTAGTGCAATTCATTGTGGTGCTATTTGTTTTTACCTGAATTCTTTCTTCAATGGAAAATGTTTGTTACTAATATTCCTTTGATAGAACTTCAATTTTTTTTTCTAAACTTGAGTTTTAAAGTCTTTTTTTGTGTTCGTAATAGGGTATGGTTAGCATGCTTAAAGACAGTCCTCTTCCAAATCTCAGCACTTTAAAAAAAATTCCAAAATTTTAAACTCGTTCCTCATAAGTACATATCATTCTGAGTGTTTGTTTTTAGTGGAATAAGGATGCGTTCATGTCAGTTTTAAACAACAACCCACATTTTGGACATCCCTACATATTTAATGCTTTCAAAGTAAGGTAAAAACATTTTATATGCTAACAGAATTATATTTGTTATAAGTTAAATTCCAGAAATGTACACAAAATTGATAATTCCTACTGTTTATTTTTTTAAGTCACAAAATATTTATTGGTTTTCATTAACTTCAAAGTGTTAAAATCATGCATTACTCATTTCTTGCACTTAAAATTTTTCATGTTTATTCCTAGATGGTTTGATGGTCCAAGAATGAATAAATTAGGGAGAATAATTATACAGTCATAATATGTTATGTTGTATTAAAGAAGTTAGCTAAAGAAATGATTTTTAAATGTATCCTGATAAATGTGTCAGAATGCATTTATCAGTTTTTGTAGAGTGACCAGTAATTTAAACGTTTTCCAGGGTTTTAAATAATTGGAGTGAATTTAGAAACCTTTATTGAAAAGATGATTATTTACAAATCCAAAGCATCAATCATAAGATTTTTATAATAAACATCTTTAAAGCTGCATCTTCCATGCTGATAACATATTACATTGCATATGCTGACATTTTATTAAATATATTTTATAATGAAGAAAAATAATCATAGTTAAAAATTCAAAGACCAGTTACTTATTACCTGATGTGGGTCTGTTGAATTTTGTGGAAAGAGTTGGTAAACCCAGACTAGGTTTATTGAGTACAAGTTGATCCCAATTATTTTGGGAATGCGTATAGATCAGGTGACTTAGAGGTTGAATTATCCTGTCAATGATTATGTGAGGTTTGAGACACTGACTGGCAGTTACCACTGTCGCTTTAGGCTCTCTTACTTTGTGAGAATATGATATACTTTCAGGAATAAACTATAGTTTTTTTTTTTTTGTTGCTCATTTTTTAAAAAATAAGTACAGACAACTTTGTGGGAGGAAAAAACACGATAAATTGCAACTTGGAATTTGTCAATGTCCTGAAAGCTGTGAATATTTTGCTGGGGTACACTGGAGGTAGGAAGACTACTGAAAACTTTTGCACTTCGATTTTGTTTTTAACTCTTATCTTTTTCTTTCATAAAGAATAGTATAAAGAGATGATCCATTCCAAATGTCTTTTATTTGATCATAAAGGACAAGCAAATGTCAGTATCTCTTATGATGGTAAAAACAAGGAGTTAATGCAAATAAACTTTTCACATTAGACTTTTCAAAATGTGCCTTTTAATCCAGTTAATCAGTGAAGCTATATGCTGTATTTCAAGTAAATCAAAACAACATATATTTTCGTAATTCCACATGAAAAGCTAGGTTTTGTAATGTAGGTCCATAAAACTTTTTATGTCTTCTACTTGTGATTGAAGAAAGCTTAATCTTGGGGGACTACGAAATTGGTCACCTTAAAAGGCTATTGTGAAATGTTCAACATTTTTGCCGCCAGTGTGGTATCAAAAGAAGTTATGACTCTTGTTTTAAAGAAAATAATTCCCTAGAGGCAGTTTGCTTCCATCTGTACATGTTCATAGAAAATTGTCAGAATTCATAAAAAGGAAGCATAAAGTAGGTTCTGATTATTGTTAATCTAGGAACATATGGTCATCTGGAAATTAACACATTTCAGGGAAGCTAATAGCTGACAGGCTGAAAAACAATTTGGTTTCTTTCTGCTTAGAATTGGTATGGAGCCCCACTCATACAAAATAAAATGGGTTTTCATGTTATTCACGTACAGCTTATAATTCCCACCTTGGAAGAGGGTTGTTAATAATGATTATTTAGCGACCCCTTCTCCCTACAACAATGATCTTGTTTCAAGGACACAAAAAAGGGCTGCAGTATTTTTAGATTGAATTAAGGGGTGCTTCCTTTTGCTCATTTATGTTACTTTTATTTGCAATCAGCATGATTGAGAAAGTTGTAGTAGAAAACCAAATGAATTTGAGGTCCTGTCTTTAAAATTGAGAGAATTATTGCTTAATGTGGAACACAATATACCTCTGCTGTTAACTCCAGCAAAAGGTATTTTAACCATGGTTTCTCAAATTAGCAAAATGCATCCTTACCAAAGTTGCTCTACTTGGAAACTGACAGGGAAACTTGCCCCAGAGAAAAATGGACAGAGGTTTTACACCAAATGTAAAGACAGCAAAATTAAACTTGATAAAAGCCCATTTGTATACTGTGAGGTAACAAAAACTACTTTTGTAAAGCTTTTTATGTCAGAAATCTGTGGCAATAGTAAAATCTTAGATCACCATCTAAAAAAAAAAACCGTCTTAAAAATTAAATTGCATTTTTAGGTCACGTGACCCTTTTAACAGCACTACCGAGTAACGAACTTACAAAATTATAAGCTCCTTTTAGAATGGTACTTAGTCATAACGGCACGTATGGTACGGCTACAATTTCACTTTCGCCACAGCACCTGCAAATACCTAAGCAAAGTCCCCTAAGGGTTTTAAAGAAATATATTTGGCAGGCATTCCTGAACTTGATCATGTTTTGCAGGTGAAAATGACTTAAAACAACAAAAAAATAAAGCCCGCCATTTACTTACCTGTTCTTACCTTTCATGGCATTCTCAGTCACTAAAGTCGGCTGACAGTGACTGCCTTGGGTGCCTTCATGAAAATGGGTGGTGTACGAGTTTTGGAGAGCAGAAGCGAGGCAGAAATTTTGTAGCTTATGCACATTGCGGCTTATCTGCTGGCCCCTTTGGGAGAAGGCAGGAGCCAGGCCTGCAGTTGTTCAATACTGCACCTCCTCTTCCTTCAGCCTCTCAGACTCACAGGCTAGGTTGGTATGTATGTTTAGCTTCACGATGAAGGGTTCTGCCTTCTGCCATGCCACCCAGGTCAAAAGCAATGAGATTGGACCTGAGTTTCAGCCCATCCTTGTGGGTTCCAGCCTGTGCCTGCTGTTTCAACTTACCCCTCCAACTACCACCTTCCCTTCCCAACTGCGTGTTGGCTTCAATCTCCAGTATTGTGCAGACTATTAACAGCTTTGAGACTATTTAACCAGCTCTCATAATTAAGGCCAAATACCTGTTAAACCTTTTTCTTCTTCTTTTGATCAAATGCTGTTAGTGATGTTTTTAATCTACATGCTTGTCTTCCCAAACTTGATAAAGTGAATTTTAACATTCCATTTTTTTTGTGACTTTAGGCCTTTCATTTCTTATGCACAACTCATCATACTTTATTTAGCTATCTAGCTTCTAAGAAAAAGACATCCTAACTAATTTTAGTGTCACTGGTTCAGTGGCAGTGCACTGGGAAAATAACCTTCCTGAGTGACATTTTGAAAAGAATGTGAACACGTCACTTCCCCAATTATTTTTGTAAGCACATTTAAAAAACATTATTCTGTGAATTGTCTTAGATTGCTAGTAATAAGTATATATTTTTTAATTAAGTATATTTTTTGCTAAGAATTTCCGAGTTCACATACGATGAAAATGGCAAAATTAAAAATGAGTAAAAAAGACTCAAAAATCTACAACTCCAGAATTAGTCTCATTTAGAAACTACTACTACTAAAACCTTAGGAAACAGACATTCTGGATGTTCTGAGTAAGAAGTACCAATAGCTTTCCCGTTACATCCATAGTTAACCAAAGTAAACACAACTCTACGTACTTGATTAGCAAAGTATTAGAGATAGCAGAGGAATGAAATACACCAGCTAAATTTGAGACAAAACGAACAAACCTCAAATCCAGTTTAAAAGATGTCAGTCTTCAAGCAGCATTGACCCTAAGCACTAACCTCAAGCCCAATGAAGACAGTAGTAGTGTTTGCCAGAGGAAAAGTTGGCTTGTGAAGTCCCTGTGATACCTGCACCAGAACTTTTATTCAGTTAAGATGCAACTTCAAGTAAAATTAGTTTGAACTCTTCCAGTAAAAGCCCCATTTGTTCTTTTCCTAAGTACCTAATATTTACCTACCTCCCACATACATATCCTGTAATCATTATCTAGAAACTTATCCAAAATTCACCTTCACAAAAATGAAAAGGGCCACAGAGCCTTCTTAGTCTTATCTGCATAAAATTTATCTTAGTGCTTTTGCTAAAAACTATCTCAAACTAAGTTATTTTAGTTTTGAAGAGCTCCACAGCAGGTACCATTTATTGACCCAGGCCACACAGTCCTGCGCTTTAATTCCTAACTACCAATCACATTGCAAGATAGTTACCAATCCTATTTTACAATTAGGAAAATGAACGTAACAGCTCCCCCCAGCTGTGAAGGAAACTGAAACTCATGACTGGACTCTTGCATAGCCACTACATCTCATTCCCTCCTGAAGGACTTAAGCAAATAAATAGGACAAACGTTTTTTCTAACAAAACCACCTTTATTTTTTAATCATTTACTACTAAATACAGAACAAAACTCAGTGTGGAGGCAGTGTTCACTTGATCTCAACTGACTCTCTGTTAAAGACTTGTGCCCCTGTACAGCCCTACTATTGTACATAAAATGTTCACTGAAAAATAATCTAAGTATGGATTCCCTTCACTAGTCTCTTGAGTCAGTGGCACTATTTATAGCCAAAAATTTCTAAGTCCCTTTTGAAAAGTATATTTGTATTCACTGATTAAAAGAGAAGAAATAGACTGAGTAATATTAGGTTTAACCAGGTGAAACTGCCAACTATTACTTGTTTTGCTTTACAAAAATGGCAATGTCATATGGTTCAACCTTTACTTACTAAAAAAGATTTTTAAGTAAATGTCATTTGCAATCAACTGTTTTAAACAATGATTATTAAGACCATTACTAGAACTTCTTAACTATAGACAAAATTCCTTTTAATAAAATCTTTAAAAAGTTACTACAAACTGTAAAAACAATGTTTTTAATATGGCATTTCAATTTTAAAAGTTAAAAAAATTATCAAACTTGGATAAAAACTATACTTCCAAGTTTCATTTTCCCCTTAATCCCAGCCACTCTAGCACTACTTCATTACATAAATGAATAAATATACTATTTAGTATTGTACAGTAGATACATACCATTGACAGTTGCTAAACTATTCCAGCAAAGGCAAATATTTCACTGGATATATAAATTTACTAGATATAGGTGAGACCATTTGTTTATCCTAAAGTTCTTTAACTCAACCCAATCCCTACACCCAAAATTCGAGAAATGTACGCTAAGAAACAGACTATTTTAAGATAGAGATTAAAACAACTGTGACAATTTTGATGGCAACTAATCACTACAATGATGGCTTTTATATGTAAAAATGTGGATTAAAGGGGGAAGAACTTGACTTGTAAAATGAAATGAGGTAAATGTCATACATTCAACAGCTTGTAAATAAATACAAATACAGTTTTACAGGAAAATGAACATAAGTTTAAGGGTTTTATTATCAAAGTCTTGTAAAACAATTTCAGAAACTGTACATCAACATGGCACAGACTGTATAGCCTACTCTTGTTTTTACTGCACAAAAGTGAAGCTTGAAAACTCCTGTAACTAAGAAAACAGTTGCCATACTACTTTGCATTTAACATGGAATCACTGTGGGCATAAGATTACTACTGCAGTAACACTAACACAAATTTATTGGTTTTATACAACGTGAGCGCAAATAAAAAGTACATTATCAAGTACATTTTAAAAGCACATGAAGGTCAATTTAAAATGCACTACCCCCTTCTTCCAACACTTATTTTAAAACTAATAAAAGTGGAAAATTGAAAATCAGGACAAGAGATAATTTTCCTTTACAGATGGACTCCGGATAGCTTTCACTGATGCAGGTGTGGAATAAATTATTTCAGGAAAAAAAATTCCCAAACACCTTATGAAAAAGTATACAACTCTAGTTCAAAATATGCTATTTACTCACTGCCAAAGACAGTTTCATTTGAAATCTTGTTTCTGTAATTAAAGCCTAAGCAGCCATCAAAAAAGGTTAGTGCATATATAACCTTTCAAAGTTAAACAAAAGCCACAAAAATTCAGCCACAAGGCTTAAAGGATTATCTATTTCAAATGCTTATTTCCAGATGTAACTATAAGGATGTTAATTTGTCATGTCAACAAACAAGACCATAAGTAGATCCATCATGTTGGATTTTAATGACATTTAGGATATTCCTGCCACAATTAACATGCAATCAGTGCATTCCCTACAGGGCTCTATTACGGCAATGAATCAAATTCTAGAAATACTATAAGTGAACTTACTTAAAGGAGATCATACAACTAAAACAATCCATGCCTGCTGTAGATGCATGCAGCTTTTCACTTCTGTTATGAAGCGGCACCAGAATAGTAAAACTGCTTGTTTACTCAATCAGATTTCACCATTTCAAGAATTGGTTACCCATGTATAATTTTCTAAAAGCTTTTGGATGTAAATAATATCAATATCAGGAGCTTTATAACCATTTATAGCTCAGAGCTGTATACATCTAAGGTGTGAGATGAACAAATACAGCATTAAGAAATCACACAGGAATGACACTGATGCATGTGTACAGCTGGATTCCCAAAGAGGCAACATTCAGTCACTCATATCCATGTCTTCTTCATGATGATCATCCCCATTCACTTTGGATTCTCTCAGTGCGTCACCAGTTCCCTTTTCCACAGAACATTCTTTTGTTTTAGGGGAACCTGGTTCTGTTGGTTTCTTCTCCTCTTTTTTCTCTTTCTCGCTGTCATACCCCTGTTCCTCTTCATCGTAATCCCGTGTAACCTGCTTTGCCAAGGAGAATAATAAAAGTAAATGTCTTCACAGAAAAATCACTTCTTAAAGTACTAGTTCCACCCAAAATACCAAAATAAATTAGTCTGTAGACATACTTTTACATCTTTATCACTCTCTGATTTTCTTTCCCGATCCTTTTCCTTATCTTTACTCTTTTTCTTCTTGCTTGTTGATCGTTCTCGTTCGTCTCTGCCTCTTTCTTTGTCTTTATCTTTCTTCTTCTCCTTTTTATGCCTAGGATAACAGTAAAATGTTCTCAAAAAAAGAAAAAGATGCTTTAAAGGATAAATTTGAAATTTCATCTGTAAGCATAGCATTAGGTTAAACTTGTTTAGAAGCTGAGCTTGACCAAGATCACACGGTGTAAAGAAGATAGAGCCCTGGCAGGGTAGCTCTTTTGGTTAGAGCACCGTCCCATTACACCAAGGCTGTGGGTTTGATCCCCGGTTAGGGCACATATGAGAATTAACCAATAAATCACAATTAAGTGGAACAACAAAAACAAAAATCAATGTTTCTTCCTCCCCATTCCTCTCTCTAAAATCAATCGATTAAAAATTAAGAGGATAGCAAAGATCCATTTGCAAAATACTGGACCCAACCCACGAACGGCAAGAAGACTAATTTGGTAACAGGTCTAAAATGGCTGATCCTCATCAGTGTTTATTATAACACAGTCTCAAGTCATAAAAGGAAAATAAAAGCACATTCATAACCACTTTTCTCAAAGAAAGTTTCTGAAAAACAGAACGAATAGACCTAAATCATTAACATTTCTTACCTCCGAGGGGAGGGTGAGCGAGACAATTTTCTTTTCGGAGACCTAGGCTTCTTAGGAGATCTTGTGCCACTCCTGCTTCGTCGTCGTCGTCTCTCTCTGCAAGCACAAATGTACAAGCTAGACTTTAAAATACAGACACAACACAGACACAGGTCTATGACAGCTTCATTAGGCTCTCCGACAACAGGATTCTGATAGCAAAAGACCCTTTTTCAAATACTGTTTTGAGCTGAAGAATCAAATTAATAATAAACCGTAATTCTTTACCACACTATGTGCCTTTCCTTTAATGCCCTCAATACCCCTAATTTCCAGCAGTCCTTCTTAAAGACATTACATTGTCAACATCAAAATTACAATTAAAGTACAGAACCATCACTCAGAAATGTCAGATAAACTATGGAATTCAAGAAACCACATTCATCCACACTGGCAGGAGAGGTGGAGACACAGAACAGGCTGGCCCCACATCCATATGTAGCCGATGAAAATTCAGGAGGGATATCTTAGGAGTCTCAGCCCCATACCAGGCCTCCCAGCCCAGGGTACCAGTACCAGGCAGATAGGTCACCAAAATTTCTGGCTGCAAAAACCAGTGGGGATTGAGTTGGTGGAGGAAACTTTGGGAGTCCCAAGCAGTTCCCCTTAAAGAGCCCACACACACAGACGTATTCAGACTCAGCACCTCTGAGTGGCAACAGAGGGTTAGCAGCTTGAAAGGCACCAGTGGCATACAGGGAAGAAATGAAGTGTCTGGCATCAAGGCAGGACCTGGAGGACAGTTATCTCCCAGAAAGAAAGGCGAGCAGAGGCCGTAGTCCCTTTTCTGAGCCCTCCTCCCATAGAATCATAGAGCCATAGAGCCACAGAACCAACAAGCTAACACTGTGTGCCCTTCCCTGGAGATCCTGAGTCGTCCTCCCACCCACCTTACAGGTGCACCCACACTGTTAACCCTGACTTTTCTATAAGAATGGCTGGTCTTGGCTCATGCTTCACAACTTCCTATATATTTTCAAACAAGTAACAGCCAAACAAGTGAGCTCTGAGTCCCCATACCTCTTGCTAATGGCACTGGGTTGGGGCTAGCAGCCGCTGGCCTAGATTCACAGCTTGGCTTTGCCCTTGAATCTCGAAGCCCAGCAGAAGTAGCAGCCATCTCAGCCTGCTTTATAGCTCCAACAGGGCGGCCCCAGGGAGAACACAGGTGGGGGCTGATCTTGGCCTACACCACCTGGGAAACCTCCACAGAGGGTGGAAGTTAGTGGTTAGTGGCCACAGCCAGGCCTTGCAGCTGACTGGCCTGGGTAATAAATACCTTCCACTGACCTGCCAACAGCAATCAAGGCTCAACCACAAGAAGAGGGTGTACTTAGCCATCACAAAGGGCTCACCTCAAGTACCCCACTTGGGTGATTGGGGAGGCTGTGCCACTGGACCCTACAGGACACCTACTACATTAGGCCATGATACCAAGACAGGGAGTCATAGCAGCTCTACCTGATACATAGAAACAAACACAGTGAGGTGCCAAAACAAAGACACAAAGAAACATGGCTCAAATGAAAGAACTGATCAAAAATCCAGAAAAGGAATTTGAAATGTAGATAAGCAATCTATCAGATGCAGAGTTAAAAAAACCAAAAAACAAAAAACCCCACTGTTTATAAGGATGCTCAAGGAACTTAGTGAGTACCTGACAATATAAAAAAAGATCGAGTCAGAAACAGAGGATATACTAATTTAAGTAACAATTTACAGGGAAACAACAATAGAGTGGATGAAGCCAAGAACCAAATTGACAATTTTGAACATAAGGAACCAAAACAATCAATTACAACATGAAAAAAGCAGCCAGAAACAAAAAACCCAAAAACCAATCAACCAAACAAAAAAACTCCAAGGATAGGTAAGCAGCCCCTGGGACAACTTCAAGTATTCCAAGGTTCACACCACAGGGGTGCCAGAAAGAGAAGAGAAAAAAGCAAGAAATTGGAAATTTCTATTAATAATGAAAGAAAACTTTCCTAATTCAGTGAAGGAGATAAGACATGCAAGTTTAGGAAGCACAGAGTCCCAAACACGATGGATGCTAAGAGGCCTACTCCGAGACACATCATAATTAAAATGCCAAAGGTTAAGGATAAAGAGAGACTCTTAAAGGCAGCAAGAGAAAAGGAATCAATTACCTACAGTGGAGTTCCCATAAGACTGTCACCTGATTTCTCAATGAAACTTTGCAGGCCAGAAGGGATTGCCAAGAAATATTCAAAGACATGAAAAGCAGGAATTGCTCTACCCAGCAACAGATATCACTTAGAATCAAACGACAGATAAAGAGCTTCCCAGGCAAGAAAAAAACTAAAGAACATCATCACCAAACCAATATTGTATGAAATGTTAAAGGGACTTAAGAAAAAGATCAAAACAAGGAATGATAAAATGTTAATAAATACCTATTATCAACAATTGAATCTAAAAAACCAACTAAGCAAACAAGAACAGAGACAGAATCAAGAATACAGAGAGCATTTTGATGGTTGCCAGACGGAAGAGGAGTGTGGGGGAACGGGTGAAGAGGTGAGGGGATTAAGAAGTACAAATAGGTGGTTACAGAATAGCCACAGGGATGTAAAGTACAGTATAGGAAATGCGGTAGCCCAAGAACTTATAAGCAAGACCCATGGATGTGAACAAGTGTGGGGATTGCCAGAGAAGTGGGGGTTGTTGGCTGAAGGGGGGGGTGCCAAAGGGGAAAAATTGGGACAACTGTAAGAGCATAATCAATGAAATAAAATAAAAAAAGACATTAAATCATCATGACATCAGAAATGTTAAACTTGAGGGAAGACTGATTAACCAAAGTTCTACCTGAAGAGATAAAACCTGTGTAAAGTCTATTACCTAAGAAATTAGTTTTTGACTCACACGCCAGTGTCCAGGAGAGATACAGGATCATAGCTTGTAAGGCAGGTGCTAATAAAAGCCAAATAAACAAACAAAAAACCCCTACCCCTTTTAAATCATTAAGTAAGGTTCAGAGAACAAGAGTTAATGGTAAAACAGAGAGATCAAAATAATTCCCTATACTCCACCAAACTATGTCTCCCCAGCCCTGCTCTGAGCAAATGTACAGCCATTTTCCTTCTCTTTAAAGTGTGTCATTAAAAAAAAGAAAATCTGCCTCTGTTAACTATTTTCCAATGTTATTAGGACTTGCAAGATGGCCATTATACAGTTTAGGTACAAACAAAATGAAAACAAAACCCCGTACTTTCATCAGTCTAGTAGCCCCCCCCGTTTAAATCTTTACAGCTCTGTGTGACACCCCCTCTCCCCTACACTCCAGCTCCTGTAAATACTACACCCAACTTTTCATTCATCAAATACTTATTAAGTTTGTCAGGGCTGTATACCTCATATTCTTTGATACTGTTTTGTGTAACGGACACTCCAAATTCTTTAGATGGAAGAGAGATTTCATATGTGCCCCCTGATAGACTAGCACAACTGCAAACACATAGCTGATATTCAATAAAATCTCACAGAATATGCCATACTTTTAGGTGATCCAATAATTAATACAGGGCAAGGTGCTTATGAGTAACTACATTAAACAAAGCAATAGGAGAGAAAAAGCATTCAGTTTTTAAGTTAAGAAACATACATGGTGCACAGCAAGCACATTCCATCCTCTATGCCCTTTGCAAACTATCCCCCAAGGCTTAGCTTGGAATTTTCTTGAGCACTCACACCAGGTTTCTTTCTTTTTTTAAAAAAATAGCTGGTCCTCCATATCAGATTTTGGTGTCCACAGGGGTCCTGGAACCAACCCCCCTACCTCATCTATCTGGGGGACTAGCGTATTTACCTTTTATCAAAATATTCCTCCTCACAAAAAGAAAGCCCATAACCCTCTTGGCTTTCATACCCCAACCGTTTAATCTACTTTCTGTCTTTATAAACTTACCTATTCTGGACATTTCATATAAATGGAATCATACAGTTTATAGTTCTTTGTGACTAACTTCTCTCATCTGGCCAGTTTTCAAGGGTCATCCATATTTTAACAGGCATTGGAACTTTCTTTTTTATTGCTGGATATTTCATTGTATAGATATACCACTTTGTTTATCCATGTTAGTTAACGAACACTTGCACTGACTTTTTGGTGATTATGAATAATGCTTCCATGAAAATTTAATGTACAAGGTTTCATGTGAAATGTTTTTGTTTCTCTTGGGTATATCCCTAGAAGTGAAACTGCTGTGTCAAGAAACTGTGTTTAATTTTTTAGGAATTGCCAAACTATTTTCCAAAGTAGTTGCATCATTTTACTCACACCAGCAACATACAGAGTCTCAGATTCTCCAGATCCTCACCAACACAAGTTATCATCTGCCTTTTTTTATTATAACCATCCTAGTGGGTGTTAAGCAGTTTTGACTTGCATTTCCCTGATGACTAATGTGTATCTTTTCATGTTTATTGGACACCTGCATATGTTCTTGGAGAACTGTCATTTTTAAAAAAATGATTTTATTTATTTTTAGAGAGAGGGGAAGGGAAGGAGAAAGAGAGGGACAAAAACATTGATGTGTGGTTGCCTCTTGCATGCCCCCTACTGGGGACCTCGCCTGCAACCCAAGCATGTGGCCTGACTGGGAACGGAAACAGTGATCCTTTGGTTCACTGGCCAGCACTCAATCCACTGAGCCTCACCAGTCAGGGTGGAACTGGGTTGTCTTTCTATGATTGGGCTGTTAAGTAACAATACTTCATATATTCTAGATAAGGGTCCCTTTTCAGATATATAATTTGCTATATTCTAGCAATGAGGTTTGTCTTTACTTTCTTGATAGTAACACAAGAGGTTTTAATTTTGATGACTTCCAAAATTTTTTATCTTTTGTTGCTTATACCTTTGATGTCATATCTAGAAAACCACTGCTAAATTCAAGATCATTAAAATTTACTTCAATGTTTTCTTCTAAGAGATTTAGTTTCAGACTTTACATTTAGGTCATTCATCATTCTGAAGTAAGTTTTGTATATAGAGTGAGTCTTAGCATTTAATAAACAAGGTAAGAAAACAAACACTGCAGCAAAATATATAAACCAGATTGGAAGACAATGGAATTAAGTATGGCCAGCCCTCACTAATTTCATATAAATTCCAATGTTAAGTGTGAAAAATATATTCCTGTGGAGTAAAGTTTGCAACACTGAATTTTCTTACTATTGCAGGTTCAAGATAGAATTACAAGTCTAAGAATGATAGAAATTATAACTGCTTCCCATTCTTTTATTAATGAATCACTATAACTGGAGGGAAAATTCTTGAATATTAATTAAGATGTGGACATTTTAAATATGACTTACCATAGTAAAATAAATTTAAAGAGTAATTCAAATCAGGAAGTGAAATGCATACAGCAAACATAAAAACTGACCCCTGTTGAATTCCATGTTATTTCAAATACACTCCACCATAAATATTAGTAACAAGATGAATGTTAGGTTATTCATCACAAATTGTCACTAAAAATTGACAGCACTAAATTACGTACAGGGATGGGCAAAAGTAGGTTTACAGTTGTTCACACAGAAAATAATACAATAATTAGTAAATAATAATACAAGAATAAACTGTGTTTTGCTCGCTTACAGCTATAAACCTTTTGCCCACCCCTGCATGTACTGGAAAACATTTAATGTTCACAGTCTATGGATATCCTTGCAAAGTTTGAAAAAATGCCAAGAATTCATAATGCCTTACCTGCTTGCACTTCTGGACCTTCTGGCTGTGCTATAACTTTTTGGTGGTGTTTTGGAACGTTTCTTTTCTTTGTCTTCTTTCTTTTTGTCTCTAATCAATGAAACCGATTTAAGAATGCATTAGAAATTTCAGCTAATATAAATTTACACAGTGCTACAAATAAAAAAAATAGATCTAATTCCATTCTTAATGTATGGATGTTATTCTGATACTATATACAAATATAATTTAAGGGGCATTATTTGAGGTAAAAATCTTTTTTGAAAAATCTAATTTCCCTGGAATTCTACATACAACTGCTTTCCAATAGAACAAAGTAGACTGATGAGAAAATGATAAAGTGTACTGAGCAGTTGTCTGGCATAAACACCCATAGTTTTAATAATTTTCTCTAGGCTCCTCAATAGTCCTTTCTCTCTCCAGTGATTTCTGTTTCCCAGCCCACCAGGACTCTATGTCCCCTATGTTGGGTGTAAACTCCTAAGTGTGAACAATACATCTTTCTGTTTACCTGTCTCCTTACATTTTTTTGACCCCATTTCCTGGTCTTCCTACAACAGTATAATTGCTATTTTAAGAATTCATGCTAAGCCTAACAACGTTCTCTACCTGAAACCATGCCCCACTCAGTGGGTCCAATCAAATCTATCTCAAGTTAATACTCACGAGTCCCTTCTCAACAGAGCCTCTTCCAACATCTCAAGAGGCCCTTCCTATGTATATTCATCTCTTTACTAGTATAAAGTTAGTTAAGGAAAGCAATGGTCAATTCCTTTTTATATGATACATGCATTATTAAGGAAGTTTGTGTTTCATTGACTGAATTAAGAGATGACCCACTCTGTAAAACATGACCAAAAGTCCTGTTTCATAATGAACATGCAGCAAGGGTATCCCAGAACTTAAGGTCCCTGCTGAGCCATGTTTACCAAGAATAAATTTTCTTGGCCCCTGCTGTCCTTTTAATTACGTAATTAAATACATAAATTGGTGAAGTAGTATAAAGAACTGCTTCTAGAAAAATAAGGCAAAAATTTTAGAAAGAGAAAAAGGACAGCTGTGAAACTATGTGTGACAACTATGCATAGAAAACTAAACTCTAGGCATTTTTCCAGCAACAGAGTTCTCTGGCCATTTTAAAGCAGCTCAAAGGAAAAGACTGATTTGGTATTTGTTACTCAAGACTAGGCATACTAATTTAAAAGGCTTTGGCTTAAATGAAAAAGACTGGTTACTGAATGCATGTTAAAGTCAAAATAAAAAGTTAGGGTAGGGATATTTATTTTTTAATAAATCCTCACTTTAACTCTCTACTAGTCCCAAATCATGGGATAAAAGGCTAAGTATGATTCAGTCTCTGGCATATAACAAATCTTAATAAATAGTTTTAAGTGCTAATGAGGACATGCAGAAAGATGAATTAAAGCATGGCCATCTGCCATAAACTCTTTTGGCATACCACGAGGAATGGCTGGTAGCACTAAATCAATCCTTATTGGTGGCTGAGTGGAAAGCAGGAAACGAAGGAAAGTAGTAGGACAGCTAAGAATTTCTACTACAAATAAATCTTATCTAGGTCTTTGGCTATAAGCAGAAATCTCAAGTTTACAAAGGAAACAAGAATACAAACGTGACTTATTCTGATAACATAAATTTAATGTAATAATTCAAATAGGGATGCAGAATGCATCCTGTTAGCCTCATCAAACTTTAAGAAGTTTCTCTCCCAGTCTAGCCCCATCTCCCATTACCATCTCTTTTCTCATTAAGTAGCATAGTATTTGGGGTCTTGGAAACTCTAAAATTCATCTTCTCACCCAGTATAACAGTCTACTATACTATACCTGGTTTTTGATGTACTCCTTGACCTTCTACCTCTCTCTCTGGAATGAGATCTTCTTCGTCTTGGACTTTTGGATCGTCGCCTACTTCTTGACTTTGAATGTGATCTCCTTCTTGATCTGCTTCTTGATCGCCTAATAAAGGAAAGCCAATACACATACATAAATGTAAAAAGGCTAGTTCTGTTTGTGACTATTTCATATAGCATCAGGTAAGACTCATCAGATATATGGGGCTAACCATCAATAAGTCAGGATAATTTCCTGCCAGTTTCTGCCATTCTTTAGTCCATATGAAAAACACTTTTGCTACCCTAGCAATATGTAATACCTTTTGTTCAACCCGTCAAACTAATCCTATGCCCAATGAAACTATAACATTGAACTTAAAAAAAAAAAAATACTGCTAAAGGAGAAAAAACAATACACCCTCCACATTATATAGCATTTCGGCATATTATTTATTTGATTCCTCACTATTGCAGGTTAAATCTATCAATAGATTATCAAATCTATTTATTACACATATGCTTACTACATACTTTACAAATACTAACTTGTTTTATACTCATAATAAGCCTATATAAGGTAGGTACTATTATTATTCCCATTTTAACGCTAAATGGAAACCACTTAGCATGGCCTCCTACAATTTTTAACTCTTTTTCTCTGAAACATATCCCACTTCTTTAATTTACAGCTTAAGAGCAATGCAAGCCTTACACAGATTTATATAATTCAGTACAAACTGCCTCTTACTCTAATTTCTGTCTCCATATGATCATTTTTTCCTGTTATATAACAGGAATGTTTCTCTGTGTACCCTCTTTCCTCCACTTTTATCCCCAACCCTATACTTTCTCTTCCAAATACTTATCTCTTCTCAAAGTACAATTAACCCTTTGAAGCTGTCAATGATCCTCTTTCCTATATTTTATTCTCTATTTTAAGATTAAAAAACAAATTGCAATCCTTTGCTTAGACTTTAACTTCTAGTGACCATTCAACCTCTTTCTATGGAAATTTTCAAATATAGTCTAAACTTTCTGCCTTTACTTTTTCAAGGTGCAAGGGCATGGATTTTTATAAATGGAAAAGGTCTTATTTATAAGGCAAGCCAGCTAACAACTGAGCACATTCATTATTTAACCTCTTTGAGCCTATTACTATTTGATAGAGAAAAATAATAGCACTTACATTCACAAAATATTTGTAATTTAAATGGAATTGTAAAGTCTATCACTCTGGCCTTAGTATAGACAGGGTTCTCCAAGTGTTAAAACTAAGCTATGAGAGCCCTGGCTGGGTGACTCAGTTTTTGGAACATTGCCCTGTTCAGCAAAAGGTTGCAGGTTTGATCTCTGGTCAGGATGGATACAAGAAGCAACTGAATGTCTGTCTCTCTTTCCAAAACCAATATATATCCTTGGGTAAGGATTAAAAAAAAAAAAACAACCCCCCGCCCCCCCGCAAAACAATAAAACAAAACAGAACAAAAAAACAAGAGACAGCACTAGCAAAAACAAAAAACACACACAACAAAAAAAAACAGAATACTAAGTTATGAGAGCAATGACCTGGAGGATTAGAATTCTAAGTAGTATCAATACTTCACATATGTTGGTATTTTGAACAAAAAGAAAAGATTTCCTCGGGTGGATGTGAGAAAAGTATCAGGTAAAGCTATGAAAATGCATTAGGCAGAAAGGAACATCATGAGCAAAACCTTGAAAGCATAAAGAAAAGGTTATATGTTCAGGCAAGTAGTAGTACTGTGGTTAACTGTTCTGAGGTGGTAAAAGACAAGTGTGAAAAGAAAAACTGGACTGAATAATAAAAAACCCTGAATGCCATTCCAATGTTTTATTTAACACCTCATGAGAGCAATAGGGAACTTCTCAAGGTTTAAAAGAGTTGTGACATGATCTCATTTTGGGTTTTTGAAAGGCGTCTTTAAGAATAAGATAGACTGGGGGAAGGTAGGTAACATGAAATAAAATAGATATGCCAGATAAGCCAACCATGCTAATATTTTGCTATGGAATGAATGTTTGTGTCCTTCCTAAAATTCTTATGCAATACCTAACCCCGAAAGTGGTATTTTAAGGTGGGATCTTTGGGAAGTGACTAGGTAAAGAGGGCAAAGCCTTCATGAATAGAAGTAATGTCCTTTTTTGAAAGAGATCTTAAGAGACCCCTTGCTCATTTCCACTTGAGGACAGACCAAAAAGATGGCCCCCTATAAATAAGTAGATCCTCACTAGACAGCAATTTTGCCAACACCTTGATCTTGGACTTTCTCAGCCTCCAGAACTGTGACAATCTCTGATGTTTATAAGCCATCCAGTCTACAGAATGTCTACAATAACAGCCAAGTAGATGAAGATACTGGCCAAGAAATGACTTCACAATGTCATGGGGCCCATGAAGTCAAAATTATTTTCAAAGTAACAGACATTGTTTGCCTTTTCTTCGCAGTACTGACTTCTGTGCTAATGGTACAAAAGCAATGGTGGTGTAAAAGTACTGGCATCTGCTTATAACAAACTAAGGTTGTGGCAACTGAACTACCTGAGTAGATACTATATTCTTCACTACTGTTTGTAATATTCACTGGAGGTAAAAGAAAAAACAAAAAACACCCCCCCCCCACATCATTTTCACAAGGGATATCTTTGATAAAACAGTAAAAAATATTATTTTATTAAATCTAGCCCTTTGAGTCCTACTAAAGCAGTTTTATTATTTATTATTGAGTAGTTGATATTAAATCTAGTTCCTTGACCAGTATCCTATACAATTAAAGTGGGAAGTTTGGATAGATCACTTCTGATGCTTACTACACTTCAACGGCTGTATCGAAAGAGGCACTTGTGGGTCAAGTTTTGAACTTAAACTGTCTTGTCCATGAAACATAACCTTTACTTGAAAGAACTGGTAAACTATGGCTGCTCAGACTTGAGTATTTGGCAGCCATTTTCTTGAAAAATGAATGAAGACTACCATTTCAAGAGAAAAATTCAATTTGTTGTCAAAGATAAATATCTGAGCTTTCAAAGAGAAAATTTTAGAAAACTTGAACCCACCACTGTGAACTGACAGCATTTTCTGATGAGACTGGTGGTGGTAGCACTAAATGTCATTTTTGTTGTTAGAGCAAAATATGACATCATTTGAAATCTTGTGTAAAGCAGTAAGTTGATTCTCTGTTCATGTGAAGCCAGACTTTCTCTATATAATAACCAAAATATATTGCAGTATGTTGAATGTAAAATCCCGTGTCTATATTGTAAACATCAAAGAAATTTGCAAAGTAAAACAAAGCCACTCTTCTAATTTTCCTTAAAAGTTGAGTTTCAAAGCTATGTGACTATGAATGGGTTTACTTCTCATTATTTTTAAATGGTAGTTTTAAATTTTAATATGGCCTACATAAACAGCCATAACCAATGTAAACACTACTTGGGGTCCTCAATTTTCTAGTAAGTATAAAGGTCCTAATACCAGCAAGTTTGAGAGCCACTGGTCTAGAGAACCTTATAAATTTATACAGGATGTCATGTGGAAAAGAGAACAAATTTATTTAGTCTTACTCTAGGCAGGATAAAAACATTATACTATCAGTATATTCAATAATATAAAAACAATCTCAAAAGAACGGCAACTTGTGTGATTTGCAAATAAATATTCATTCATGTACTAGAGGGGCAATGTGCAGGTTGCATGATGGCCTTCCAACTTAAATTTTACAAGAGTCCAGCAAAACAGCCAAAACTAGAATTCAAGTCAAAAGTTTCAAGTGCAGTTCTTCCCACAGTACTAACTCACGCTAGTGTTTAAGTCCCAGTGCCTTCCTCCTACCCCTGAATATTTTGGGGTTTAAAGTATCAAACATCTATTTTAGCCCATACCCTTTTTCCATTTTATATATGTGTGAACACTTACACACTTTGCTAACAGCACTTGTTACTAACAAACACTTTCAACCAGGAGCTGCTAGAAGAACTGAGGCAGCAAAGTTAAGATGGATGTGACATGTAGAAATAATCTTTGTCTAAGGCACAACTGAATACCAAAAGCAATCCATCTAACCTGTGCCTGGAAGATGAGGGAGTCCTCCTCCTCCTAGAGCGTGATCTCGATCTTGAGTGCCTTCGTTTTTCTTCTTTTTTATCTGGATTTAAAAGAAAAGGATCCCAGATTTTAAAATCACCAAATATATTAATCCCACTCAGGAATTTATCTAAGAATTTCTTTCTTACTTTTCAGTGTTACGTATCCTTAAATGTTACAAATGATCATTTCACAATCAAAATGTTGAAATTTACTGAAGTGATAAAAATTATCCAGGATTTTGGAAGATCCAAATTAGACTCCTGATTTTCAGCTACCCAAATCGAAGATTTCATTTTCTAGACTCTGGAGGCAACCAAATGTTGTCTATAAAATAACCTATGAAAAAGGTTCTCTTTCTCATCCTTTATTCTTGAGGTTTAGAAACAAGGAGGCCCTTTTCCACTGCTAGGTGTACTTTCCAATATAACTACATTTCACTAAGATTAAAATTTTAATTTTCCACATTTATGTTTTAGTAACAACTCCTCAACCAGCACTTAACTGTAAAATATTTAATGATAAATACACATTTTAAATTCATGGTTTAGCAAAATGTTCTTTTTTTCTTCACTACTTATCTCTGTGCTCCTTTGTTAAATAAATAAATTCATGTGTATTTATATCAAAGTGGTTGATAAACAGGCTCAATATTTGTGGTTGAAATTCAGGAAGTCATTCATTCCCTGTTCCCACTATACTTCTGTGAAAGAAGTGGGTATTAGTAAGCTTGCTCTCTTAATCTCTCCTCTTCCTCACCAATTTTCAACTGTGTAAGTGTAGGAGATAAATCTAGAAATTTCTATAACTTAAGACGTAACAAGAGAAATAAAACCACTGCATTTATAGATAATCATCGAAATGAGAATTAGTTCCTTTCTCACTTTCAGATCATTTCATTGACAGAATCCAAGTTAGTGTTAATGTTATTAATAATTAACAGAAAGTCTTGGAGGAAAAATTCTTTTAAAAAAAACCCCAAAATCCTTTTAGACATTCCAGTTTTCAATGAGACCAGTTACAGCGTGGTATGGTATCCTTGCTTTGGGGTCAGAGGTCCAGTTGTGCATATTAAATTAAAGCTCCTACTATTTGATGTGTGTCTTAGAGCTAATTAGTATTTTGTTATTTAAATGAGATAATACACATGAAGTACTTGTTATTAATTTATCCAGTATTTGATTGGTTACCTTCCGTACAGGCCATGACTGGGGACTGGGTGCTCTGACCAGGAATTGAACCCACCACCTTTTTGGTGCACAGGAAAACATCCCAACCAACTGAGCCATCTGGCTTAGGTGCAATAATTATTTTTGCCAACAATTATATAGTGTATGATTCTACACAAGTGCATGAACGCATTTCACCTGGTTCTATGGCTGCAGAAATAAGGGACTGTGCTTCTCGTACTCTCTTCATGGCTTCCTCTATTTCTTTACTAGAGGTATCTGATTTCAGACTTGGTGAAACAAGACCAGCGGCTACATGATTCAACCTGAAACAGAACCAAAAATTGAGACCAGAAATATTTTAAAATGCACAACAGCATTTCGAATAAATGTATGTGTTTCATGTAACATTTCAGTAAGATATTCCTTGGGAAAAAAAGATTCCATTATTTGGTAAAACTATACACAGTATAGTACCCTTTTGAATATTTAATGGCTCCTGCATTTTAAAGACAGGGTATCTGAAATAGGCAGAGGCCAAAGGCACACCAAACTTATTCATGGAATTCCTTATCAAAAGAAAAGGTTGAAGATGCACCTTTAAGGGTTTATAGTGTACCTTTGAGAAAAAAATTAAGACACCAAATTTAAGATAGAAATTTGTGGACAAAGTGGGAAGTGTAAATAAAAATGGGTACACAGGGAATTTCAACTTCACTGGTATTTTATTTTATAAACTGGGTGATAGGTACGTAATTAGATTTTATCTAATAATTTTTAAGAAAAAAGTCCATTAATTACTGTAGTAAAATGATTCTCTCCTCCTTTCTCCCATACTTTCCCACTTACTGATAGTGACTTCGCCAAGGAGAAAAAGTATTCAGTTCAAATTTAAAATATCAAGAAATTACCAATTAAAATAACTATGACTGTGCTATATGTATACCAAGTAGGAAATATAACAGTTATAGCACGGAGAAAATTTTTCAAAGCATCTAAAGATGATGGCCAGTATTATGTGACATATACCACTCCTTGGCTCTAGGCTGTTCCCCTCACTTCTATCTCCTAATTCCTAATCATCCCCTAGGAATTAGCTTCTCTGATCTCCAAACTAAGTTCTTCTCCTTGTAATGTTTTCATAACATCTCTGTACTTCCTCTAGATGGATCCGCATGCTTTATTATCTTTAAATAATGTCTCCCTTCCTGACTGGAGGATAAGTGCTATAAAAGCACAAGCTTATAGCAGGTATTCAATATATATAATAATATTTTAAATGAATCAACTAAAGATGATGTTTAGCTATTTTCCTATTATTTTGGTATAAGTCATTTACAATTATTTTGAAAGACTCAAATTCTAATAAACAAAACCCTTTATAGATAGACTTACCATCTATAGAAACAAGGACTTTTCTCCTTGTTTCTAGAGAAATGAATTATGTATTGCATGCCTTGAGATAACCACCTTTATAGCTATCGAAAAAATAACTGTTCTCCAGACACTCACTCACTATATCAACATCATCAATGGACACAAAGAAAAAATCCTTACTTGGGATCAACAGTACTCATAAGCTTCAGCAACTGATCTGCTGCAAGAGACTGCAAAAAAAAAAAAATTTAACAGTGAGAATACACTAAGCAATAATGATTGCTATTTTCTTTTTTTCAGGATGCCGAATGTCCTCAATTTAGCAGACCTATAAAAAGTAACATTTGAGGCAAATCAATGACAACAGAAATACAATGCCAACCAAATGTCATATTAACTTTTCTAGTAGCCACATTAAAAAGAAAAAGGCGACTTCACTGGCTACAGTACTGGTGCTTGAGCAAGTCAAATATGAAGATTATAAGAATGAACAATCTCGATTTTATAGAACAATTACCTCCTGCTTATTTTAAGACTTTCCCAGGGAAAGTAATGACACTTGAAAGAAACATGAAAAAAGCAAAACAAAACAAACCCCCCCCCCAAACTCAAAGTGCTTAGCCAATACAATAAACCAAAAATTTTTACAAAGGATTCCCTAAAAAAGTCTGCCAATTACAATGATAAAACACAATTTCCAAATGAGTAAATGACAGGAAAACAAAGACTTCATAACATATTGATAATGTGTTCAATTCCTTGAAACTATACGCTATATAAATATGAGAAATTCTTCAATGGATAAAGGGCTAATAATGCAATGACCCATTAAATCTCTTAACAAGAACATATAAGAGAAAAATTAGTACTACCCCATAGTAATGTTATATCCTGCTTTTGAGATGCTCAGTAGCAGTTAATAAAATTTTTAATTATAAAAATGAGCTCAAAGTTGAAGTGTATTAAATTATACCTGAGAATTCAAGTTTGCTCCAGGAAGCCCAAGTGCAGCAAGGGCAGGATCAAGAGTAGGAGCTCCCAAGGCAGCCAATGGAACAGCGCCAATCTGTTAAATTACAAATTTTATTTATTTAAAATTTCATATCTGTTCTTTGTACTGTGTGTGGACGGGGGCTGTCAACTTATTCTTCCTTCTAAAGGGTAAATAATTAAGTTTATAGGCTATGTGACTGCTGTTACAACTACCTGACTATAAACCTCTGTAGGTTGAAAACAGGCACACACAGTGCTCAAAAACCCCCAGAATTTATTTATAAAAGATTGTGGATCTATTCTTACATGTTTAAACTTTGGTCACCTTCAAAGTACTTTCTACCTGATGCAGTACACCTATGGAGGAGATGTTTTTCCATGGCTCAAAACAGTTTTTGTATGTGTCGATTTTGATGCCTTTTAGTGCTTCTGCTGTTTTTTGTTTCACCTCTAGCACACTGGCAAAACGCTTCCCTTTGAGAACGTTTTCCCATCCGGGTAAACAACAAAAACAAAAGTCACCTAGGGCCAGATCAGTTGAATAGAAAGTGGGTGGGACCAGGGGTAGATGGACCAGCTTTTGGTCAAAACCTGCTCAACACTCTGCACAGTGAGAGATGTGCCTGTAAATCACCCACCATGAAATGGGCAAATGCAGTGAGTCTTACAAGTAATTCACTGAAGCTACACACAGACTCTCACAACAATGCCAACTGGTACACTGATACAGATGGGGTCCTAGAACACTCACCTAGTGGAGTAAGCCTATACTACAAGGATCCCACCCTCCAAAAGATAATTCTTTTTCATTGGGTCCCCTGTCATACATAAATAAATGGGGATATTTGCGTTCTTATAAACAAAATGGGGGTCTGGCCAAAAGCTGTAGTTTGCCTTTCTCTGCCCTCATTCTCCACCTGTCATTACAGCATCTCTCTGTACAATCAGACTTTAGAAAAAATTTATAAAAACTTTCAATATATTCTTATGTCAATTTTAACTGGAGAACTGAAATGACACTGTGGAAAGGGTTCCTATGTCTCCTTTTGACTATTATTGCAGCGTCATGTCGGATACCAGTGGCCTTCACCTCTGCCTAAGTTTCAGAGCCATCTTCTTGTGCAGCTTCCTAGAAAGTTCTGTGGTACCCTAGAAAACTTCCCTAGTATCCACCCCTTCAAAGTAGGTCTGAATCTTATTGGGGGATGGGGTGGGTAGGTGGAGGCCCCCTCATCTAAATGTGTTTTTTTCCTTGTATTCTTTCTTCCTCAGCCCTAGAAGTAATGGTTGCTTCCTACATCTGCAATTCATGATTCCTTAGAGTTCCCCTAGTTAAGTTCCTATTACTAGTTACTAATTTCTTATATTAAACTTTCCTTCTTCAAATTACTGTGTGGTTCGGTCTCCTGTCTGATGTAATTCTGATTAATCAGTAATTTAAGACACAGCCCTGGCTGTGTGACTCAGTGGATTGAGGGCTGGCCTTCAAACCAAAAGGTCACTGATTGGATTCCCATTGAGGGGACAAGCCTGGGTGGTGGGTCCAGGTCTCTGGCTGGGGGCGTGCAAGAGGCAACCCATCTGTTTCTCTTGCAAATCCATGTTTGTCTTTCTCTCCCTTTCTCCCTTCCGTCCCCTCTCTCTAAAAATAAAGAAAATCTTTGAAAAAATAATAATTTAAGACACAAACCATGCAAAATCTTATAGCCCTGAGGACAGTTTGACCTTCTCTATAAATACTGTACTAAAAGTTCTCCTAGTTTCAATTTTTAATAAATGTAAGGTTCCAAACATCTATTTATTTACTGAGTATAGTTAAAACACTGTATTAATATTATATAAGCTATCTCAGTTATTAAATAATTTTATACATCAAAGGTATCTACAAATTTCCCAGATCTGCATTTTGTAAGTCACAGCCAAAGTCATACTCAAAAAGCTGGGAATGATCTCAGTCTCTTTCTATACCATGCACGGAACAGTTAACTACTTAAGCAAAATGATTTAATGAAAGGAATGTTGCTATAAAGTTCTAGTTGAGTCTCCATCATTTGCTTTATCTATGAAACAATGACCAGTTATAATCTTTCTGAGTGGTTATAATACATGGTATTTGAAGAAACTTTTGGCTCTAAAATAAGCTTTTTAAAAAGCATTATCAGGGTTAGAAACATTACCCAGTACAATTTTCTCCAACTTGAATATTTCATCTTCCCCATTTCAAATAGATCTCTCTCTCCATGAATTCATTTTTATTTCAAGCCACCTACTTAATTAAAACTCCAAAAGGCACTGGCAAAAAAAATTCACCTTTATTTCCTTTCCTGGTCCAAGCATTTTTAACAGCATGTTCAATGGAAGTCTTACGCTCCATGAGACTGTTTTTTTTTTAAATGTTACTGGGTTATTTTGCGAGTCAGTGGCAAAACTGATATAACAGGTATTTGTGATTTTCAGAATGTTCTTAAAAGGAAAACTTCTAAGAGATCCTATTTAGCATTTATGATTGCAATATGGCCTTTTATAATACTATTCACACATGACACCATTCTGTGAACTAAAATCACAACACTTTAAAAACTCATGTATTCAGCTTCATCCACAATTCTGTGCTCCTTTCTACCCTTTAAGATATCAACAGAACTAGTACCTGGGTAAGTGGGTTAGGAGTAGGCAGGAGTCCACCACCAGGCAGAAGACCTGCCACTGCGTTAGCTGGTGCCAACAGAGACAAAGCCTTAGTCTCATCAGGAATAACTCCTGCAGAGAAACATCCTTGCATTAGAACACACCCTTTTGTAAGACAGAAAACACACAAAAACACCCAGAAAATGTCTCCCTGATACACCACCTGAGTTTGTTGAAAGTACTTATGTTCGCTAAAACATAAAGCTTGATTTCTATGATTTATCATTAATTTTATGTCAGAATGAAACTTCAATGTGTGAAAATTTGTTTCCTTTTTTCTCTACAAATGGTTAAGTTTCTAGAGTAAAAAAAAAATAGCACAATACACACTACTTTTTTGTTAACACTGCCAAGATTTCATCACCTGTACTCGATTTTTAAGTCATGAACCAAACGTAAGCAAGCACAGTCGGTTCTCCAGGGGTGTGCTCTCAACTTTCAAAAGCTGTTTTATGAACAACGACTCGTGTCGGCTGCTTCACTATAAAGCACACAGAAAAATCAAGATACACAAGACAAAAAAAGTTTGATTTAGGGGTTAATAATATGGTACAGTTACTATGATTTTCTTTTACACCTACCATACAAATTTTGTAAAAATTAAGAGAAGAAAGTATGTAAAGGAAATATTCTGTTGGAATCAAGTGTAGGGCTTTTGCTGACTCATGAAAATGAATGTTTCTGAAGGTCTCTGAATACACACTGGATGTGTGTGTGGTAGTGAAAGGGAGGGAGGGAGGGAGAGAGAGAGAATAGGTAAAACAACATGGCACATTCCTTACCTGTACAGTAAAATGCTTTATGTTCCAACATGTGCCATGCTAACCATACCAAAAAAATGCTGCTATATAGTGTGAGTTCAAAAGCTAACTTAGCCAAACTCCTAAAGCCAAAAACAACATGTATGTCTGTTTTTAAAGCCTAATCTGTGTATTCAGATAAAATCTAAGGGTCCTAATACAAATATTCATGTAGACAATTTAAATTCTATCCAACAGCAAAAGCCCTATACAGATGGATTAATCTGTTAATGTGCCCAAGCCCCCAAAATGAGAGTTCAATAATACAATTAAACTACATATTTGCAAATACCAGTAGTATTTCTGTAATACATATTAAGAAACTGCATCTCATCATAAAACATACAATATGTACAGGGCACTTAAGAGAAACTGGATAAGCTGCAGAAGAAAACTGTTGGGTGGTATTTTCAGCAGGGCCTGGTATATAGTTCAGGCTGAACCAGGGAAAAGAACTGTAAAACACAACAACAAAAAAGAAAAACCACTGTTAAATAAAGGTAATGGTTCCTTCCACCTATACTGAGAAGTGCCGATAATATAAACAAATGTATACTACACAGCACTGTTATCTTGCTTGTGTCAGAGCTGTCATCAATTTAGATACCAAGAGTTATGGAGGGAGGGGGAGGGAGAAGATCATTTAGATATAGGGCATTAATGCATCAATATTAACAAACCTACAAAGATTATGGGATAATCTTGCATGCAAAATTATGTCTCAAGAGGACAATATTAAGTATCAACATCTTACTCAAATTAGTGCATATGCAACATTCTGGCAAACTAAAATCCTCTTGAATTTATTGTGAGACACCTGATAGAAGATCTGCATCCATTACAAAAAAAAAAGTCATGCATCTGATCCTCTGATTAAAAAAAGACTATTTAAAAATAAAACTACAATTTAAAAATAGCAATGAGGCCCCTCACCAGTTAATTTTCATGCGTCAAGAGTATTTTTTTTACTGCTGCTTTGATAGAACCATGAAATACTGCATGAATGTGTAGAAATGAAAGAAAAAGAAACAGACAAAAGAAACAAACATTAACCAAGGAACCTAAATAACCCCCAAATCCATTACTATTAAGAGTTCCTTCCAAATCCAGCTATCTCAGTTTTACCAATTAAGACTATTTATTCCTTACCGTAGGCTTTGTGTCTATTGTTCTAAAACATGACGGAGAACCAACACCAAAGTGTAAGAGCTAAAACTAGGGTGAATGGTGACAAAGGGATTAAGTACATCAGTTATTTAGTGGAGATAACATTAATACAGCATACCATACCATTAATACACCAAAAATAAATTCCAGAACTAAATATTTTGGTAATTCTACATACACTCCTAAATATTTCACTTTCAAAACAGATCCAGAAATATTACTACGGTCTAAAAATATTTATGAATGCCAATTATATGATATACTGTATTATGTTCAGGGCTTGGGTACTATGATATAATACTTTGCCAATAAGAATTCTTTACATTTAAAGGCTAATGTTTAGCACATTACTCACATGATTTGACCCTTGTTCCAATAACTATCTGTATTTTACTTATTCTAAATTTGAATTCTGTAAAGTCTCTTGGTGATAAGTCTTACCCTACAACAGGCACACTGATATAAAAGGAACTGCTTAATCAAAACACACTAAATCAAATGTTTATCAGCATATATATTTTAAAACCTTAAAACTGGGTTCATACACTTTAATATCATAGAGACAGATGTACTATTATACAGCATGCCTTCAACCCACCTATGAACGCAACTTAATTTCTTCAGAAAACCACAAAGGCAATTTTTCTAAGTTTTAAGGATTAGACATTTCACAACTTGTACAAAGTATGGTGTAAATGTTCACACTGGTACTCAAAGATCCGAGATAGCATCTAAAATTAACAATATCAAGATTCTGCTTCCACTGACCAGTACATTAAGGAAAGGGAAAGCATAAAACCCTCGTCAGCATTAACTTAATGCTGTAAATTAACTTAAAGTCCAGTAATTATTAACTTAATTAAAATCCAGAAATTTTCTATTTCAGTTATTTGTCAAAATGTATAGTTACCGAAAAGAAAATAAAGTAGCAGTACACTGGGAACAAAGTATTATAAAATATGGCTTAGAAAATTTTACAAAGTGGAATTAAAATAGTGCTGTCTTGTCACAGTGGCTTTTTTAGATCCAAAAACCCTGCTCATTATTTCTGTCAAATTACTTTAACAGCCTAAAATGTAAAAAGAGAGAAAATGTAGTTAACAAATGGTTACACCAGGAAAACACTTGGGGGACTTGAGTGCTTGCTGGCCTTTAGTTAATGTCTAGAATCCCCTGTAGCTGCAGAGGACCCACTGTTTTTCAGTCATCTGGAAGAGTTTTGCATTTGCCTTCTCCACTACAAAAATCACACACACAAATAACAGAGAGAAGAATTTATTATTTAGAGATATTCTAGAAAATATAGCAAGAATGAACAAGAAAATCTGGCAATAAAAACAAAACACCCAGTGCCCATCTGGCACCTAAGCTATAGGAAATCTTGAACTTTCATACAAACCAAAATCATTGCAACCCTTGGTATACTGGAATTCAATGTGGGATATGGCACTAAGGAAATAAAACCTAATCATTTATTCAAAACAGAAATAACATTATGCATTAATGTGAAGGTTCCTGTGTCCATTCACCTTCAGGACTTCTTCATAAAACTCAACATTAAATTAACTAAATAGATGTATCTTAAGGAATTACTATTAGGGTTACAGCTTTAAAGAACTTAAAAAATGTTTTAAAGCAATGGTACGGTTAAATATCTTATAAAAACAGATCTGATTTCTAATTTGTAGAATTAAAAAAAATTTTGCATGTTAAAATATGGACCACAGTATAACAAGGGTTTCAAAATGTTAATTGCTTATATTTTTAACATGCTACTAACACTCACTCTAAAACTATACTGAGGTAGATGGTCATCATAGGATGCCCACATAGGTAGTTAAACAAAGCACAAACCTTCTGCATATGGTACGACTATCAATGCTCTGTCAACGAATACAGTGTTTGTCAGATGCTGTGCCACAACTGCTGAGTCCGGATCATGGAACTTAACAAAGCACACACGGGATGAGACTGGCAAAGGTGAATCACTGAAAAATAAACAAATAATATAAAAGTAGAGAAAAAGAGTATCAGCTAAAACATATGTGTGTGATTCATAAACCCACATCTACATTTTAGAAAAATAGGTACATGAAAATACTTAATAGTTAACTAGTTAAAAAAAAATCCATTAAACTCATGTAGCGAATAGCACGTATACAATCACTGTTTATGATTTTCCACTTTACCAAGTTAAAAAGTCTGAATCTAAATTTTCAGTTTAAGCAGACTAAAGAGTGTCAACAGTTTGAAACTAATAACCAATACCAGTTATGTTTAAATACAGGTAACAAGTAATCCTGGCTTAGAAAACTTGTCAGAGTGAAAAAGACAGAATTTTCCAATTCAGGAACGAAAGAATATTGTGGGAAAGTACATCTACTTGACAATTGAGTTTTCTTGACCCACCTACTAATAAATGCCCTGTCCTTTTTTCCCTACAGCAGAGAAAAAAATTTTTAAGCACACATGCGGACAAGTACTCTACACACTAGTATTACGATTATGCAAAATCTCAGTAAACAAAACTTCAGTCACTTCCCTCAACAAATTGCTCTTAGATAAAACAAAGAGGTGCAGATGTATAAGCTATGGCAGCCTGTAAGATAAATTACAAAAGGTGCAAGTTTTCATTATTATTATTTTTTAAAACATGGTGGTTCAAATTTCTGCCACAAAAATTTCTGTGAAATGAAAAGAGTAAGCAAAGGCAGGGGCTGATCCCTAATCTTAAATCAAAAGTTATTTTAAAACCAATGTATTACGACAATAGCAACTGCACCATCCTGGTTATACATTAGAATTATCTACGGAGTAAAAAAATACATGGGCCCTGTACTCCACCAGCGGTATCCAACCTGTGGCCCTGTGGGCTGCTTGCAGCCCAGGATGGTTCTGAATGCGGCCCAACACAAAATTGTAAATTTACTTAAAACTTCTTTTTTGCTCGTCAGTTTTCATTACTGTTTGAGTATTTAATGTGTGGCCCAGAGACGCAAAAAAGGCTGGAGAGCCCTGAATTAATCAAGATCTCTGATGATGAAGCACTGAGTGCTTCCTCTTTTATATTAATTTTAATTCTCTCCGCAGGAAGAGATCCTCTTCTGCCACAAGCAGGCCTAGTGGACACGTGCAGAGAGTTACAGGCTTGCACTGGCCTCTTTCATACTCTTGGAGAGGAGTCGCTGGAGAGCTGAGAGAGAAACACTACAGAAAGGAGGCTCTGGGCACAGGCAAGCGTCTGAGGAGGCCCATGCCGACCATTCAATACGCCACTCAGCAGCAGCGCCTGATCTTCTGGGGAGTTCTGTGAGGGGCAGCCAGGGGCCAGGGCAGGGGCCAGACAGAAAGAGCTCTGAGTGCTTCCTCTTTTATATTAATTTTAATTCTCTCTGACAATTTTTAATATATGCACCCAGGGTAAAGAACCCTCCGGCTTTACTATAAGCCTATTACATCTTAAGATGCAATAATGAAAAGGAAAATCCTGTAGTATCTTTGAATGTTATTAGAATGAGGCTTATTGTTAACCTTTTTAATAAACTGGACTTTCAAGTGTACATAAAAATGTATTTATATCAGATTTGGTTACAATAGGTATTTTCAGAGATGAGTTATTTGCTGAAAAACTTTTTCCTACTTTGTGCACTAATGTGAAAATAAAAACTTACTACTTACAGAGAAGACTAACACAAAGTTATTAACCTGAGATCTTAACTGTTAGAATTCACAAGTTTACCTAAAAGCATCACTGTTAGATACTAAGCAGAGCTCCTAATTGAGGTTCAAAGCAAAGCTGACAATATATGGACACGGAATTTAAGCCATCTTATTATAAAGATTTACTGTTAATGTTTTTGAAAGGATATGGTGTTTTTTAATGTAGACATAACATGGTGATTTTTAATGCAAAGGACTACTGGTCAAAAGTTAATAATGTTACATTAAGAGTATTATAAAGAATACAATTCCAGCAGTTTTAATACTAAAGCTATATATAACATTTTGTATTCCTTTCTGACATCCACATTTTTACCACTAAATTAAAAAGCTCCTTAAATGCTATTATTATATGACATTCTTAACACCTAGCCTAATGCCTTGGAAAGTAGCAGGCACCTAAATTTCTTTTTAAAAAAAGTGACCTCTGCCATCTCTTTGACACTATGTCATTTAACTAAAAGAAAAAAAATGACTATCAAGTTTAGGTCCTAAAGAAGATAATGTACATTCTTTAAAAGAAAATTAAAAAGTACTGTCTACATGCTCACAACATATTTCTACTTAGTTGGCAATGCTAAAATGATTAATATTTTTTTCTATCCACTCAATATAGGAATGCTACCAATTACCTGGGCTACACCAAACCTGCAAGTGGTGGTAAGGTAAAATATGAATAATTTAAATACCAAGGAAAAGACAGTCACAGTAAGACAACTGAGAAGGGCAAATAATCCATCTCTCCCTATTTCATATGGTCGTCTTTAGAACCACTGCTATGTCATCCCTCAATTATATTCTTAAAATTTCTCAGTTAAAATTTATTAAGAAATATATGTTAACAGGAAAGAAAATGGATGCCTGAATTTAATATTCATATCCTAGTATTCTGTGCAAGTACCACTTCTAAAAATGTAGTTGTCTTTACTCCTTATCTTTAAGAATATAAATGAGGTAGGGCAGTGAAAAGAACTTAGGAACAAGATATGAAGAAGTGGGCTCTGTTTGATGCTTTCCCCTTTACGTAAGAGTGGTGGGACCGTGGCTAATGTTTCTTCAAGTGTCCTCCTAAGTAAGGGTTGTTTGCGAATATTCTGGGATACATACAGAAAATTCAGATTTGTTTTCCATCTCAGGGACACTGAATCTTAGAATCCCTTTTATAGGAGGGCTCTGATTCTTAACAAGATGCGTAGTTAATATTTGTGTTCACTGAAGTATGAGAACTTCTAATTTAGGCCACTGATACCTCTCTTCCAATTCCCACCTTAATACTGTGCTAACCATTTCTGAGCAAAGAACTATGAGCTTATAAACAAAATCGTCTCCTATGACACTCAAAATAGCGACTATGTGAGGAATGGTAACATTCACCTGAAAATTTGACCCTGTTGACTTCACATGTCCTACCCCTCACTGAGTTCTCATTCAGTTTCAAAGAAATTAAAAAAAAAAAAAAAAAAGCTGTATTTAAAAACAATTTCTCCAAGGTAAACTAAGTTCTCTTCCTTACCTAACTATGCTAAGTCACTTATTTGATGATTAGAGTATCTATTTTTGGTCACTGAAATATTTCAATAATAAATTTAAGTTTACCTGCAGTGTTACAGTAGTCTTTACTGTATAACTTTGACATATGCTTTCCTGGGATCATTATTCTCTCACCACTTCAGTTATATTTTCCATTATGAGATCCCACTAAAACCAAACATTTTAAGAATACCTACACTAAGTGTAAAAGGGTAATTCCACTCACAAGTTGCTAGGCTAAATCAAGAAAATCAGGACCACCTTGGCTGGTGTGGCTCAGTGGACTGAGTGCCAAGCCTTCAAACTGAAAGGTCACTGGTTCGATTCCCAGAGTACATGCCTGGGTTGTGAGCCAGGTCCCTAGTTGGGGGCGTGAGAAAGTCAACCAATCGATGTTACCCTCCCTCTTTTTCTTCCTCCCTTCCCCTCTTTCTAAAAATAAATAAGTAAAATCTATTTATATCCAATTTGACTTGTGACAGTGACTCCTATCTTCCTCTTAAAAAAAGATCATGATCAAGTGATAAAGGACAATCACAACATTGAAATTCCAATAAATAGGTCTGACACTGGCAGAGTGGCTTGGGCATACAAAACAACGTACATGAATTTCTGTTCACTCATTTGTAAAATAGGGTAAAATACATTCTCCCTCTGGATTTGTGAGGGCTGAGTAAGATAAAAATAGGAAAGCATCTAGCATATAACAGATACATAAACAATGCTGAGTTTCTAACATGCATTCTAGGAATTAGAATTAAAGTAACTGTTTCTTTTAAAAAGACAATAAACAAGGGTGGGGGGAAACACTGACAGATACTTTCAAAGGCTGCAGGACTGAAGAGAGGATTAGAGTATTATTTGTTGTGAAGACAATTTGATCACTGGGTGAAATTACAGGCTAGCAATTTCTGGCTTAAAAGAACCACGGAATAGATAGATTCAATAACGGAAAAGAGAGAAACCTTCTTGAGGAGGTTGTCTGTCACTAAAATGTCTGCCAATACACAGGTCCCAGGAGTCCCATACTCCCACCCCCATAGGCAGGGGCTCAGCCATATATATACATTCAAAAATGCCACCCCGCCCATATTGAAGACCCCCAAGGGCCTCACATTCTAGAAGAGGGAGGGTTAAGTGGTTAAGCTTAACTTGTTGACTGGTGCTATAGAAAAAAACTATGCAGCTAAATTGAACAGAGAAGATAGGGAGCAGGGATGCTATATTTTTATACAGGGTGATCAGGGAACAATTCTCTGATTAGGTGGCATTTGAGCAATAAAAGGAAATAAGCACATCATGGCCATCTCTAGAACAGAACAGTTCCAGGTGAATATGAATGCCTTGGGGGAGAAAAAAAAAGACACACCATAAAAAAAAAATCATGTGGCAAATGTGTTTATAATAGTCATAATTTTATGTATCTGAGCCACTCAATCCTCCAGAGCCACGTTTTGAAGTGATGAACCCTTCTGGACTACTAAGTACTCCGTAGCACATTATCACCAACAAGCTATTGAAAACTGTAGCAAACTTAAAGTATCAGTAAAGTATTTCCAAATTGTGCAGGTCAGATTAGC